TATATATATATATATATATATATATATATATATATATATATATATATATATATATATATATATATATATACATATATATATATATATATATATATATATATATATATATATATATATATATATATATATATATATATATATATATATATATATATATATATATATATACGTATATATATATATATATATATATATATATATATATATATATATACATATATATATATATATATATATATATATATATATATATATATATATATATATATATATATATGGGAGGGGGTTCCTCTCATATTTAGTTCTTCCTCTTTATCTTTATTGTCTCCTAGTGGCCATATAGGTAACACTGTTTCTCTTCTCTTTTCTTATTACCCCGACTGTCCTTTCCCTTTAGTTTTCCAGTCCGTTCGTCTCGAACTCTTTTCTTCGGGCTCTCTCCTTTTTTATATCTTCTACAAGCATTTCCAAACATATATACTCCCATTGAGAAATATAATACCATGTACTGGAATCATAAATGACTCAGATACAATAAAAAAGATGCACATAATTCAGTTTTCGTAATAATTCTTTTACTGTAATGTAGATCTGAAACATAGATTTCGACATGTGATGTATAGACAAATCACACCTGATGGGCCTTTGCATTTTGTTGAACATAAATAAAGATAGTACTTGCATACTCTTTATTCAATACCTAAAGGTCATATGGACGTCTGCTGAAAAACTGCAGGCTTCTGGAACTCTTACTATACATTTCAGGGGCCTTGACCCATCTTTTTCGCAAATTTCTTCCAAACAAAACTTAAATTCAATAAGGCTCTTTAGTACGGTATGTGTCCCACCCTGCCCTAAGTTTAGTATTATAGTGCATTTCCAAATGTTCTTAATTACGGCGTTTATGAACATTGAAAGCGTGACGCAGCTGTGCCGTCTACAGATCCGCTACTCCTTCCCCCATTCCCTCCCTCCTCACTCATCCCTCTTTCTTATATATATACATATATATATATATATATATATATATATATATATATATATATATATATATATATATGTGTGTGTGTGTGTGTGTGTGTGTGTGTCTCTCTCTCTCTCTCTCTCTCTCTCTCTCTCTCTATATATATATATATATATATATATATATATAAATATATATATATATATGTATGTATATATATACATATATACATATACGTATATACATATACATATATACATATACGTATATACATATACATATATAGATGAAATCTTGTTATGCATGTTTTGCGATGTTGACTACTGCTCTTCGCTCACTGTTCTAACATACCGTACACTAAAAAAACGCCCGTACAGAATAGAACAACAATCACGGTCGTTTGCGCGAACCACCTTACTCAACATAAACTTGCTGTTTACCTAGTACATAAGACACGGACAGCTACCCAGAAAAGTATCGTCAAGAGGGATATCGAAACATTCAATAACGAACAGAACCTTATGTTACGGAAGGGTTGGTATTTCTGTGTTCGAATTGGTCTCGTTCTGATTCATAATATATCGATTAGTCATTCCGGTTTTCATATGGATTTAGTGACATGATGCTTTTTTTCACGATGGAAACATTAAAAAAAACGCACGGTAGCATTGTTTCCCTTCACACTGAAGCTTTAACAGATACAGACATCGCCCGACGATTGGTAATTATGATGCCAACGGTGGCTAGGTGGATACATCGGCATGAGCTTACAGGTGCCACAAACAAAACCCTCGGGCTGGTCGTCCTAGATGCACAACTGAAGAAGACCAGGTAGGCATAATGTGGTTAGGTCCTTACTTTGCTGATAAGCACTTACTGTACATAACCATATTACTCTTTATTACAACTGAAAACAGTAATTAGTTTTCACTATAAGCTTCGCAGCACAAAGAAGTAACTCTAACCAAATGTATAGGAACTCGGGGTTGCCACATGTAGTGAGGAGTGGTAGGAAAGATGGTATTTAATTAATTTTGTTCTTTACCTTCTTTACTTTCCAACCAGGTAATTGCACCTATGGTTGAGGCAAATCCATTTTGCAAGGCACCATACCTACGATAACGTGTGACTTTCATGTTCCTTAGAGACTATCCGTGCAAGAAACCGAGGAATGGGTCTACACGCTCGCGTACCTGCAAAAAAGCCCGAGTTGACGCTACAAAAGGAAGATGGAATATGTCTTGCAGTATTCAGACAAGCCACAGGCCTTCTGGGGGAAAGTATCTTCTGTGACGAGAAAACTTTTTCTTCTGGAGGCACAGACACTGCGAGATATGTATGGCGTTGACAAAATACCAGGTAGGTAACCGCACCACCCCCTCCCCTCCGATTTTCAACTTCTATTCTCTCGATATATTGAAGAAAATTGTTTGTTTAATTGAAATTGAATGTTAAAGCATTTTATATATGTATATTTGTGTATCTAATACATTGTTACAATTTAACATATCAGTGAATGTGATCACGAGCAGGAGTGGCCGAATCACCGCAGGATTCTTTGGATGGATGTATACGTGGTGTCGGGGAACTGACGTTTGTCGGACCAGACCGATTTACTGGCAACATATATGCTGAAATCCTTGATGAAGTTTTCTTACCAACAGTTAGAGCTAATTGCTAATTGATTAGTGACAAAGTATTAGAACCTATAAATTACCTTACCGAATTTATATTAATTTGTGATATGCTGCACATACCTCAAAATATTGGGAAAATCAGTATCGTACCGTTAACAACTGTATTTCAAAAAGTTTCGTTGTTTGTTTAGCATTATTTACTACCGATAGTTTTCTGTGTTGCTGTATATATATAGCTGTATTTCGTATATATATATATGTGTGTGTGTGTGTGTGTGTGTGTGTGTGTGTGTGTGTGTGTGTGTGTGTGTGTGTGTGTGTGTGTGTGTGTGTGTGTGTGTGCGTGTGTGTATTATGTATATATATGCACGCATACATACATGTATGTATATACATATATATATATATATATATATATATATATATATATATATATATGTATATATATATATATATACAGGTATATATATATATATATATATATATATATATATATATATATATATATATATATATACATATTTTAAGTATGTATATATATACAGGTATATATATATATATATATATATATATATATATATATATATATATATATATATATATATATATACATATATGTATGTATGTATGTATGTATATATATATATATATATATATATATATGTATATATATATATATATATATATATATATATATATATATATATATATATATATATATATATATATATATATATATAACTCAAGAGTAAACGATTTCATCAAGTACAATTAGCAATGCACTATAGTAACAAATGATAGGGCAGGGTGTGGAACAGGCTGTGCTAAAGTGCCATGCTGACCTGACAGTTCGTCTGGAGGATATTACCGAAAAACGATAGGCCAAGGTCTCTGAAATGCATAGTAGATGTTAAGTGAGATGCACAACAATGTCAACAGGTATGATAGTTCGGTTAATGATATACATGCACGTTATTTGCAAAATGTCCTTGCAAAAAGCTGACTCGTCTCAGATTGATGATAAAAAGATTATCCTCATCCTCTCCCCGCGATACCCCCTCCCGTTCCTCTCCACCCGCCCCTAGCTACCCCCCCCCCCCGGCACCATGCCCGGCACCATGCCCGGCACCATTCCCGGAACCACGCAAGCGCTTTCCTAACAATACTGAAACATCGGTTATTGGGATGAGAAGCGAGACACTGACGCAAGTAACACCGAGGGGAAGCTATATCAAGAACAGCATATATATATATATATATATAGGGAGGTTGCTCTCAGTTTTTTTTTCTCTCTCTTTATCTTTACTGTCTTCTCTCTTCTTACTTCCCCGGTTGTCCTTGCCCTTTGAGTTTCCAATTAGCTCGTCTCGAATTTAATTTTTCGGGTACTTTCCATTTTTGGTTTTTGATTCCAGGAGCACTTCCAGACACATTGGGAGTACATGTGTGGAGTCATGCAATAATAATAATGATAACAAAAAATGCACATCATTCAGTTTTTGCAATAATACTTTTTTTGGGAATTAGATGTGAAACATAGATTTTGACACGAGATGTGTAGACAAATCACACCTGATGGGCCTTTGCATTTTATTGAACATAATAAAGATAGTACTTACATACTCTTTATTCAATACCTATAGGTAATATGGATATCTGCTGAAAAAAACTGCAGGTGCAACTGCATTGGTTTCTAGACCTTTTACTACGCATTTCATTGACCCATCGTTTTTCGCAAATTTCTTCCAAAGTCAAATCTGTATGGCTTTTTAGCATGGAATGTTTCACCCCCTGAACTAAGTCTAGTATTATAGCTCATTATCAAATGTACTTAATTACGGCTTTTACTATTGACTTTTATAGCGTATTATCCTTCAGCCGAGAAGGCATTCGAACATGTAAAGCATGACACAGTTGTCTATAAATATTGAAGGAAACTACATAAGACTCAGTATCCTCAACATGTTACCGTTTATAGGTCTGCTCTTGCTTGACTCGTGTATATATGTGTGTACGTATCAAAGTAAAACTTTTTCCCATATCCCATACCGAAGTGGATGTAGGGAGTATGTCTGAAGAAGAACATACGTACCAAGCCGCGGAATGAGACTGTAGGATGGCCAGTCCTTTTCCGTCCCGACTTTGACCCTAGCATGACGTCATAGTCGACTGAGAGGGGCGACCGGGCGCGACCCCAACTGAGCTATGCTACTCTTTTCATATGCAAGTGTGTGTTTGTGGAAACATAACAATGTTGAAAAGTAAAACAAACCCTTAAATTATCATTATATTTCAATAAGCACTAACAGATGTAGGGGAATTTACAGAAAATCACATTATCTAATACATGTTTTGAAAAAAATATCAGTATCCTTTATGTATTTGTTTCATTTTGTATGTGTGGTCTAGTATTTACTTCCTTAAGATGCATTCCTTGGCTTTGCTTGAGAACACGCCACCATCTGGACACCGCATTTCAAAGGCTACGCCGTGACTGCAAAGGTAATACGAACTTGGTCTGTCCCTAATGGCATACACTCCTTGCAGATCCTTACACTCTTCCGCTGCAAAAAGAGCAAAGCATTAGACAAGCTATATTCCTTTTATAAGGGTGTTGAGAGAAACAGGTTTTATCTAGCCACAATGATGCGTTTGGTGGTGTAGAGGAGTAACGTACGTAAGATGTAGTGTTGTTCTGCTGTGGAGTCTATTGCATTTCTTTTACGCCGTTCCTCACAGGAAACATTTTCAGGGAGGTCACATGTGTGTTTCTGGTCATTGAAGTAAAGTCCTCCCATACATTCGTATTTATCAGGAATACCATCACCATTACCTGTAAGGAACAGATTTACGGTATTCAGAATCTACAATTTTAGTTACAAACTGGATCCATTTCATACCACATGCCTTTTTGTTAAAAAAAAAATGCGGACCGGGTTGCCAACCCTGAATGGATAGCTATGAATATGATAATTAATAATATGGATCTGAGTATCAATATCAAGTGATTATGAACACTTATATTTATAAATGTTCAAAGAGTTTGATGATACAAATTATTTGTATAATTCCCAAGAGGAAATATAGTTATTTGGAATAATAGAATATTTCATAGACATGCCCATTTTGTGGTATTACTTACAAATGTAGTATTCTGAGCAGCTGTGAGCAGGATACAGACATTCGCATGTAGGGTCGCATGTTGGGTGTCTCTCAGGTTGACACTGTGGGTAATCTACTTGAAGAACACACTGACTAAACTGTGGGTTGAACACAAGCCCTTCGGAGCAGGTATGGAATACGGCGCTTGCATTTGGCTGTTGAAATATTTTAGAAAGAGAATGATAAATAGACTTTGGTAGAGATAACAAGGAATCTGACTTGTATATAAGAAGATTCAGATAATAAAGATATTTCACTTGTAAAGACCAAGAACTAACCTCACAGTAATAGTAGGCTGTGCAATCCTCGGGATGAGGTCTGAGGCAGCACTCACAGTCACAAATGTCAGGCTTCATATCAGGGGGCTGTGTGGGAAGCACAGGTTCTGGAATCTGGCAGTCAGTATCAGGAGTAGCAATACACTGGGCTTTAGACGGCCAGTCACACACTCGTTTGACGGGATTGAAATGAAGATGGGAGGGACACTTCTTGACAAAAGGTATACTGTGAGAACAATGAATCCATTTCTTACAATCCTGGGGATGAGGGAAAAGACCTTCCTTTTCTGGACATGAAAATGGACATTCTTCACCTCCATCATCACCTCCATTTCCATCATCTCCACCTTTGTTTCCACCGTCTTCACCTCCGTTTCCGTCGTCTCCACCTTCACCTCCGTCTCCCCCTTCACCTCCGTCTCCACCTTCACCTCCGTTTCCACCGTCTCCATCTTCGTTTCCACCGTCTCCATCGCCACCTCCATTTCCGCCACTACCTCCTCCACATGGTAGACCTTCTGGAGTCAAGTAGCTGCCTGTCGCACACGGAGAAGCCCATTCGTGATCACAGGTGAGTTTCTGTTGGTTCCAGACTGTTCCAGGAGCACAAGGCATCTCTTCAGGACCATACGGGGCACACTGGATGAACTTGCGGCAGTCAGTTGGATGTGGAAGATACTTTCCGAGGGAGCAGTCAATGACGCAGCCGTCGATGTTTCCACCATCTCCTCCATTACCGCCATCTCCACCGCCACCGCCATTACCGCCATCTCCGCCTCCACCTCCGTTTCCGCCGTCTCCACCGCCACCTCCGTTTCCGCCATCCCCGCCTCCACCTCCGTTTCCGCCACTACCTCCTCCACAAGGTAGACCTTCTGGAGTCAAGTAGCTGCCTGTCACACACGGGGAAGCCCATTCGTGATCACAGGTGAGTTTCTGTTGGTTCCAGACTGTTCCAGGAGCACAAGGCATCTCTTCAGGACCATACGGGGCACACTGGATGAACTTGCGGCAGTCAGTTGGATGTGGAAGATACTTTCCAAGGGAGCAGTCGATGACGCAGCCGTCGATATTTCCACCATCTCCTCCATTACCGCCGTCTCCACCGCCACCTCCATTTCCGTGGTCTCCATTGCCACCTCCGTTTCCGCCGTCTCCGTTTCCACCGTCTCCATCTTCGTTCCCGCCATCTCCACCGCCACCTCCATTTCCGCCACTACCTCCTCCACATGGTAGACCTTCTGGAGTCAAGTAGCTGCCTGTCGCACACGGGGAAGCCCATTCGTGATCACAGGTGAGTTTCTGTTGGTTCCAGACTGTTCCAGGAGCACAAGGCATCTCTTCAGGACCATACGGGGCACACTGGATGAACTTGCGGCAGTCAGTTGGATGTGGAAGATACTTTCCGAGGGAGCAGTCGATGACGCAGCCGTCGATGCTTCCACCATTTTCTCTGTTAGTGCTGTCTCCACCTCCACCTTCGTTTCCATCGTCTCCATCAACGTCTCCGTTCCCGCCGTCTTCATCGTCTCCACCTTCGTTTCCACCGTCTCCACCGTCTCCACCTTCGTTTCCATCGTCTCCATCAACGTCTCCGTTCCCGCCGTCTTCATCGTCTCCACCTTCGTTTCCACCGTCTCCACCTTCGTTTCCACCGTCTCCACCTTCGTTTCCACCGTCTCCACCTTCGTTTCCATCGTCTCCACCTTCGTTTCCATCGTCTCCACCTTCGTTTCCGCCGTCTCCACCTTCGTTTCCATCGTCTCCATCAACGTCTCCGTTCCCGCCGTCTTCATCGTCTCCACCTTCGTTTCCATCGTCTCCACCTTCGTTTCCGCCGTCTCCACCTTCGTTTCCATCGTCTCCACCTTCGTTTCCACCGTCTCCACCTTCGTTTCCACCGTCTCCACCTCCGTTTCCATCGTCTCCACCTTCGTTTCCATCGTCTCCACCTTCGTTTCCACCGTCTCCACCTTCGTTTCCACCGTCTCCACCTCCGTTTCCATCGTCTCCACCTTCGTTTCCACCGTCTCCACCTTCGTTTCCATCGTCTCCACCTTCGTTTCCACCGTCTCCACCTTCGTTTCCACCGTCTCCACCTCCGTTTCCATCGTCTCCACCTTCGTTTCCACCGTCTCCACCTTCGTTTCCATCGTCTCCACCTTCGTTTCCACCGTCTCCACCTTCGTTTCCACCGTCTCCACCTCCGTTTCCATCGTCTCCACCTTCGTTTCCATCGTCTCCACCTTCGTTTCCATCGTCTCCACCTCCGTTTCCACCGTCTCCATCAACGTCTCCGTTCCCGCCGTCTTCACCGTCTCCACCTTCGTTTCCATCGTCTCCACCTTCGTTTCCACCGTCTCCACCTCCGTTTCCATCGTCTCCACCTTCGTTTCCATCGTCTCCACCTTCGTTTCCATCGTCTCCACCTCCGTTTCCACCATCTCCATCAACGTCTCCGTTTCCACTGTCTCCACCTTCGTTTCCATCGTCTCCACCTTCGTTTCCACCGTCTCCACCTCCGTTTCCATCGTCTCCACCTTCGTTTCCATCGTCTCCACCTTCGTTTCCATCGTCTCCACCTCCGTTTCCACCGTCTCCATCAACGTCTCCGTTCCCGCCGTCTTCACCGTCTCCACCTTCGTTTCCACCGTCTCCACCTCCGTTTCCATCATCTTCACCTCCGCTTCCGCTGTCTTCAACAAATTCTTTGCTTACGGACTCTTTGCTTCCAGATTCTTTGCTTCCAGATTCTTTGCTTTCAGACTCTTTGCTTCCAGATTCTTTGCTTCCGGACTCTTTGCTTCCAGACTCTTTGCTTCCAGATTCTTTGCTTCCAGATTCTTTGCTTTCAGACTCTTTGCTTCCAGATTCTTTGCTTCCGGACTCTTTGCTTCCAGACTCTTTGCTTCCAGATTCTTTGCTTCCAGATTCTTTGCTTTCAGACTCTTTGCTTCCAGATTCTTTGCTTCCGGACTCTTTGCTTCCAGACTCTTTGCTTCCAGATTCTTTGCTTCCAGACTCTTTGCTTCCGGACTCTTTGCTTTCAGACTCTTTGCTTCCAGATTCTTTGCTTCCAGACTCTTTGCTTCCAGATTCTTTGCTTCCAGACTCTTTGCTTCCAGACTCTTTGCTTCCAGATTCTTTGCTTCCAGATTCTTTGCTTTCAGACTCTTTGCTTCCAGATTCTTTGCTTCCAGACTCTTTGCTTCCAGATTCTTTGCTTCCAGATTCTTTGCTTTCAGACTCTTTGCTTCCAGATTCTTTGCTTCCAGACTCTTTGCTTCCAGATTCTTTGCTTCCAGACTCTTTGCTTCCGGACTCTTTGCTTCCAGATTCTTTGCTTCCAGATTCTTTGCTTTCAGACTCTTTGCTTCCAGATTCTTTGCTTCCAGACTCTTTGCTTCCAGATTCTTTGCTTCCGGACTCTTTGCTTCCAGACTCTTTGTTTTCAGATTCTTTGCTTCCAGATTCTTTGCTTTCAGACTCTTTGCTTCCAGATTCTTTGCTTCCGGACTCTTTGCTTCCAGACTCTTTGCTTTCAGATTCTTTGCTTCCAGATTCTTTGCTTTCAGACTCTTTGCTTCCAGATTCTTTGTTTTCAGATTCTTTGCTTTCAGACTCTTTGCTTCCAGACTCTTTGCTTCCAGACTCTTTGCTTCCAGATTCTTTGCTTTCAGATTCTTTGCTTCCAGATTCTTTGCTTTCAGACTCTTTGCTTCCAGACTCTTTGCTTTCGGACTCTTTGCTTCCAGATTCTTTGCTTTCGGACTCTTTGCTTTCAGACTCTTTGCTTCCAGATTCTTTGCTTTCAGACTCTTTGCTTCCAGATTCTTTGCTTCCAGACTCTTTGCTTCCAGATTCTTTGCTTTCAGACTCTTTGCTTCCAGATTCTTTGCTTCCGGACTCTTTGCTTCCAGACTCTTTGCTTCCAGATTCTTTGCTTTCAGATTCTTTGCTTCCAGATTCTTTGCTTTCAGACTCTTTGCTTCCAGACTCTTTGCTTTCAGACTCTTTGCTTCCAGATTCTTTGCTTCCAGATTCTTTGCTTTCAGACTCTTTGCTTCCAGTTTCTTTGCTTTCAGACTCTTTGCTTCCAGACTCTTTGCTTTCGGACTCTTTGCTTCCAGATTCTTTGCTTCCAGATTCTTTGCTTTCAGACTCTTTGCTTCCAGTTTCTTTGCTTTCAGACTCTTTGCTTCCAGACTCTTTGCTTCCAGACTCTTTGCTTCCAGATTCTTTGCTTCCAGACTCTTTGCTTCCAGATTCTTTGCTTTCAGACTCTTTGCTTCCAGATTCTTTGCTTCCAGACTCTTTGCTTCCAGACTCTTTGCTTCCAGATTCTTTGCTTCCAGACTCTTTGCTTCCAGATTCTTTGCTTCCAGACTCTTTGCTTCCAGATTCTTTGCTTTCAGACTCTTTGCTTCCAGACTCTTTGCTTCCAGACTCTTTGCTTCCAGACTCTTTGCTTCCAGACTCTTTGCTTCCAGACTCTTTGCTTCAGACTCTTTGCTTCCAGACTCTTTGCTTCCAGACTCTTTGCTTCCAGATTCTTTGCTTCAGACTCTTTGCTTCCAGATTCTTTGCTTCAGACTCTTTGCTTCCAGACTCTTTGCTTCCAGACTTCTTTGCTTCCAGACTCTTTGCTTTCAGACTCTTTGCTTCCAGACTCTTTGCTTCCAGACTCTTTGCTTCCAGACTCTTTGCTTCCAGACTCTTTGCTTCAGATTCTTTGCTTCCAGACTCTTTGCTTCCAGACTCTTTGCTTCCAGATTCTTTGCTTCCAGACTCTTTGCTTCCAGACTCTTTGCTTCAGACTCTTTGCTTCCAGATTCTTTGCTTTCAGACTCTTTGCTTCCAGACTCTTTGCTTCCAGATTCTTTGCTTTCAGGACTCTTTGCTTCCAGATTCTTTGCTTCCAGATTCTTTGCTTCCGGACTCTTTGCTTCCAGACTCTTTGCTTCCAGACTCTTTGCTTCCAGACTCTTTGCTTCCGGACTCTTTGCTTGCAGACTCTTTGCTTCCAGATTCTTTGCTTCCAGACTCTTTGCTTCCAGACTCTTTGCTTCCAGACTCTTTGCTTCCAGATTCTTTGCTTCCAGACTCTTTGCTTTCCAGACTCTTTGCTTCAGACTCTTTGCTTCCAGACTCTTTGCTTCCAGACTCTTTGCTTCCAGACTCTTTGCTTCCAGACTCTTTGCTTCCAGACTCTTTGCTTCCAGACTCTTTGCTTTCAGACTCTTTGCTTCCAAACTCTTTGCTTCCAGACTCTTTGCTTTCAGACTCTTTGCTTCCAGACTCTTTGCTTCCGGACTCTTTGCTTCCAGATTCTTTGCTTCCAGGTTCTTTGCTTCCAGATTCTTTGCTTCCGGACTCTTTGCTTCCAGGCTCTTTGCTTCCGGACTCTTTGCTTCTAGATTCTTTGCTTTCAGACTCTTTGCTTCCGGACTCTTTGCTTGCAGACTCTTTGCTTGAAGATTCTTTGCTGCCAGACTCTTTGCTTCCGGACTCTTTGCTTGCAGACTCTTTGCTTCCAGATTCTTTGCTTCCAGATTCTTTGCTTCCGGACTCTTTGCCTGCAGACTCTTTGCTTCCAGATTCTTTACTTTCAGGCTCTTTGCTTCCAGATTCTTTGCTTGCAGACTCTTTGCTTCCGGACTCTTTGTTTGCAGACTCTTTGCTTGCAGACTCTTTGCTTCCAAACTCTATGCTTTCAGACTCTTTGCTTGCAGACTCTTTGCTTCCAGATTCTTTGTTTTCAGACTCTTTGCTTCCAAACTCTATGCTTTCAGACTCTTTGCTTGCAGACTCTTTGTTTCCAGATTCTTTGTTTTCAGGCTCTTTGCTTCCAGACTCTTTGCTTCCGGACTCTTTGCTTGCAGACTCTTTGCTTCCGGACTCTTTGCTTCCAGATTCTTTGCTTCCAGGTTCTTTGCTTCCAGATTCTTTGCTTCCGGACTCTTTGCTTCCAGGCTCTTTGCTTGCAGACTCTTTGCTTCCAGGCTCTTTGCTTCCAGACTCTTTGCTTCCAGATTCTTTGCTTCCAGACTCTTTGCTTCCAGATTCTTTGCTTCCAGACTCTTTGCTTGCAGACTCTTTGCTTTCAGACTCTTTGCTTCCAGG